CCCCCCCCCCCCCCCCCCCCCTCTCTCCTTCCAACTACATTTTCACCGATTTGAGCATCTTGTTCATGGAATTGCGGCTCCATGATCAGGCTACTATCTGACCGTGTTCTCGTACTTGCCAGTAGAGAGACCCTTTCTTGCCTTTGGGGATAGGTGACATAAACGGCACACACATATACATTTTTGCAATCGCACATCCGAAGAGGCATAATGTGCTCCAATGGCAGTCCATAAAACATTCAAATATTCGCGCGTGGGAAAGTAATTCAAACGGCAGCCGATGGCGAGATTTAACTCCGTTCGCAAAGTCTGCTAAATTTCGCCTTCATCTCCCACCTTTTACATTGCTTCCCATTTGAAAAAGCGATTTTTCTTCTACAATTTTGCTATTCCAGGTATTCCTAAGGTTGTACGAAAAAAAAATGGCGGCGTTGCGGTATGCCGCACGGTTTGTGAATCGTAACCCACGGAACCTTGAAATGATGGGTTTCCAGAAACCACCAACAGGCTACGAATTCGAAGTGGATCGAGACAGTAGGCACTTCATTTACAAGTTAGTTTTTATCAGTTTAAATCGAAGTCCTAGCGCTAATATGTGTGCACATCACATGAATAGCTAACCCATCAGAGAACTTTAGTTCAGTTTTTTTACCTCTTACTGTTGTAACCCTTGTAATGTATGAAGGTATCAGCACTAGCTAAGCAATCACCTTTTTGATGTCACATGCTGGTTTTGCTACCAGATGGGATTTTAGGCCGGCTACCATGTAAAATATATAAGTAAGCAGTCTAGAAACGCGCTAGCGTCATTGTTTCTTAATGGGCAGTTTTCATGCAATACAAGTTGCCATCATAGCAGCGAGCACGTCTTTGTTTTCAATCTTTCTTTCGATACCAACCTTTTTAACCTTTGTAATACCTTTTTCTAGTACGTATTACCTCGATTTTTACCAAAACATCTTTGTATTGCCGTTTCTACCGATCAGTTCACATACGGTCAAATCGCTCTTGCATGGGCAGCATTAGGAGCCGTTTTTGTGGTCTTACACCTTGAACTGAACCAAACCATTCATTCTGAAACCTGAAACTCGTGGTTTGAAGATTGATTACTGAAGAAAACGTTTGTTTCTAAGCAGCATAGCAGGTCCGGCCTTCTGATCATTTATTTGCGTGTGCACCAACGTCTTACAATGAAACTCTACGAGAACTCAAGTAAAAGAATTGAGGAATTCGAGAATTCATTGGTTTTGCACCAAAAAAAAGACCCGCCTTGCAGCTATTTTCTTTGAGAGCTTCCCCATTATCATTGTTGCTTTGAGTACGCGTTAGCGCATTTCTCGAAATCTTTGGATGTTATCCTTATTTACCAACGGTTGGAATGTGGAGATGAACTGAATAATCTTGTTCAAATTTTACTTTATACACACGTCGGAATAGTGATTAATTTCAATCGTTTATTTCAATATTTAGGGTAGAACTTGTACAAACGAAATCTCATCAAGAGGCCCGTTTGGTGCACTACAGAAATGGCGTTGTCATTGAAGCGTCTACAAAAGAGAAGGCGATTTCCGACCAACTCTATAGGTACGACAGTTTTGTATACGATTTTCTTAATTTGATAGTCATTTGATGGTATTCTTATGTCACATGAATTTCACTGATTTTCGTTGTGAAAAGGAAATTACAGCAATACGGATACGTGTGCGTCAATGAATCTTGCCCGTATCTTAGCTACTCGTTGCCTGCAAGCTGGAATTCATTTTGCAATACCTGGTGCTACTGAGGAACAGATTGAGATTAGCCAGCATGTGAGTTTTTTCTTACGCTTCTTACTTTGTGCTCATTGAATTTTCTGTTTTTTTTTTCGACAGTGCCGCATAACAGTTTCATTCGGTTTTGCCATTAAAAATTCTCTGTCATCTGTTACCTACACATTCATGGGAATGAAAATGTTTTAGAGGTCTCAGATGTTTAAAGATCGAAGGCACGGTGTAGTTTTCACCATTTCCTCACTATTTTCACATCCCCCACATCGTCCAGCGTTCTAACTGGAAACGCCAAGTGTTCCTTAGGGGTAGTGAGAAGGGCAAGCCTAAAAAAACTGATTCTGCGCTTGCGAACGCGTGTCCGGTCCCAAGAAAGCGTGGCCGAACTTCTTCCTCCGAAAAATGGTGTTGCGACCATTGTGACTAGTGTTTTATTGCTTTTGTAAATCACTGTGATACATAAGGTGAGCGGACGTCAAACTTTTTTTTAAAAATTATAGAAATTTCCTTTTCGTCATGAATTTCTCAGCATAATTTTCTTCTTGAACTTTGCGTGCTTGCCTCCATGGCCTCCATGATCTATTATAGAATACTTATTCAATGGATACAGTATAAGAGTTATGCTTAATCTTACCAGACGCAATAATGTGTTGATTAGCAGAGGAAGGTGACGAGATTTCCCGAATGTTTCAGTGGTTTATTAGCCTAGGAAAGTCAAGGTTCTAATCGCAAAGACTGGTCCACCTTAGGGCGATGTTAAGTATCTGTCCTCCAATTGTATTCACTATGTATGCTTATTATGGGGCACTTCAAAACAAAGAGCAAAGAGTGTGTCGTTTCAGCAGAAAGAATTCTTCAAAACACTGAAAGACGAAGGATTGCAACTGAGTGAACCGGCTACATTCGAGCAGACATATGAGACAGACCGACGAATGACTTGGGAACGTTATCCACTCATGGCCACACGGCAGGATAAATTAGATGAGTTATAGAGCTCATCTATTAGACTAGGTTAGTATCTGTTATTGTTGTCATATTGTTATGTTTAGAATTTTGTTTACAAGTACATTTGAAGTAGAGCACAGTCTTCATTTTATCTCTTCTTTGGAAAATAGCCTAGCCGTTCCTTGAGAGCAACTTATTCTTTGTCTTCTTACTTGTACAGTACTTCATTTCCAAATATTATCTATTTTTATGAAGTTTCAAATACATAACAAAGCAAAAAAAAAAAGAAACACAACTGGCTTCACTCAACAAGCACTTCGTAAAACTTCAACAATGCATATACGAATGCTCGAAAAATATTTACATAATCCCGCTAGACAAGAAGACGTACAATACCAATAAATTATATCCAGTGATTGGAAGGTGACGGCGGTCAATGTGAGCAGTAACGGTCAGACATGCACCGTGAATGCGGTCGCCACAAGCCGTTGGGTTACCCTCATTGGCTGTGGTGTTGTCAGAAAAGAAGAGCTAGCTGTGTTGCCTTGAATACTCTAGACGACAAGAGTACATGCCACTAGCCAAAGGGTATTTCCGAATATGGCGTTAGAATTACGGACAAATAAAATATCACATATAGTAAAACAGCGCAAATACTGTGGCAAGAAATTATCCTTTTGAATATGAAAGCGCAAACTCGGAGAAAACTGACTTCATTAATGGCCCCAACCATTGAAATAGCGCCTGCAGCTCTCTTAAGGTATGGATTCTGCAGTACTAACCGGAGAACGTGGATATCACAAGAATTGGTTTTTACTAAGAAAAAAATGTCTACCATGATAATTTTACTGAAGTAACATCCTGAGGCTGCATAGTGAGTTGAGTGATTTCTTTCCCATGGTATAATAGTGTAAGTGAAGTTTCACTGACTGAACGTATTGATGGAAATAGGGTCTTCGGCGAAATCTGGAACACAGGTAGAGAATTTGTTGTTTATCATTGTTAACAGCGTGATCATTCCCCGTCCAGTGTCACTTACCGCACTGTCCTTTTGGTCACATTCGGAGTCCAACTTTAATTTAGATCTACAATCTGTCAACGATCGATGTAAAATGAGCGCAGCTTCATTTTTGGGTGACGCTAATCCATTTCCGTTGTAGTCCGTAGGTCCAGCCAGGGTCCTAATAAGCAGTAAGGTCATCTAGCAGAAATCTCCAAACAAAGTTAATTTACATAAGAGAAAATGAGAGGGAGGAAAATGAGGAAGAGCTTCAGGAATAGAAGCGCGTACTCACCTGAGATTGACAACATGAACATCACAAGGGAGATTTGAGGTTATTCCAGACACCATCTCAGCACTTGGTTTCACTGTAAAATAGCTGTAAGTAAGNAGTTGAAGCGGTCCATGCTAGTGAGTGCTCTGAAAGGTGGAGGCGGATTTTCTGCCCCAATTCGTAGTATGCCACCTAACCCAGTGCCCCAACATCAACAGTACACGAACACATCAACAATACTCGAATGAACTCAACACAACAACATATTATACAAAGAGAGGCATAAATAAAAGCACATCTTACCTGTAGAAATCATTCTAACAATTGGATAATGAAGTTCCATGTTCTGTGCAAGGCCAACCATCGAATGATATCCTACTCGCTCTTGGGCTGTATTTATGTTGTCCGACGGTACCAAAGGCTCGACCAGAAGTCGGAAACGTGATAGTGTCCGACGATTATCCATAACGCCCTTAGAAAAATCATTATTCCAAATACAGGTGATCGAGAAGCAATTGTAAGATAGACGATCGTCACATCGATCGCACACGAAAATCACCTGGTACAATCCTCGACCGTCATCTTGGTTCAGGCGACGGTCCAAAATAACTTCGAGCTGACCTAAGCGAATAGGAAATCCAGTGATTTAATTTTGGTTATTTTGTTTGGGAAGAAACGAAAAAGACGATTACGAACCAGGTTTCAAACTAGAAACAGCTAGGGGTTGATTTCCATGTAGAGTTAATCTCGTAGAAGTGTCTTCAATATAAGCAGCTGATGGCATCGGATAAAAATGAGCTTGTAGCGGTAACTTGTCGAGTTGTCGCCGCCTTCGGATGATCTGGAATTGGCCTTATAAGAGAGGAACGTACGTCTAAACATCCTTGAAAACGCTCTAGGTTGTCGGTTGTTGGCTGCTGAGCAAGGATTAATCTTACCTGAAGTCCATTCAGATCCGTGAATAGGTCGTCTCCACTCTGGACATTCGTATCCATACGCATTGCTAGTTCAAAGTTAGATTTTGATCTGAAATTTTTTCGCGGTTAGTATTCATCGGTACGCCCCTTAGGCTCATTTCATTGTATTCTGTCGCCCCTATGTGCTTGAACTAAAACCTGTCATAGGTGTCCGTCTATTAATTCGTATAAAATAACATTTAGCTCTAGACGCACCGTAGTAGAAAACATTATTCAGGTCTAAACATACCGTAAATCAACTTCATTGGCAATTTCTATAGAAGGAGAATTCTGTGCTAGTGAATAGACTTGCAATATTTCCAGTTCCTTGGGCCCTAGAAGGTACACTTTTTGCATGATTGGTCCTTTGACAACCTGAAATTATTGGAACCATTTAGCGTAAGGAGTGTTCCAGAAATAGTAGCCAGCTTACGAACCATGATTTCTTTTATGTCCTGCTCTAATACTTTTGCTTCGCCGTCGGGAAGGAAAAGATAGGCACCCGATCGATTGTCTCCTCCTCCATTTCCTACTAAGTACGAGAAATTTTCATCAATTCTTATATAGGCAATTCAAAGCACATCTATTTCCAGTATTGCGTTTACAGCATTTGAATTTAATTTCATATTCGAAGATATCCGTACCACGACTGAACTTTTGAAAAAGTCGACTAAGCGGTTCCCTTAACTGGTCTTTGAACGAATCACGCCAAAATATCTTTTTGTACTCATTATTTCCAGAAAAGGTCTACCCCTGCGTTTGTTTTGGGTGGCTTTTGGTTATATTGAGAAAAATCTGAGCCATACAAATGGTACTTTTGATTGAGCCGTTGCAAGCATCTTTCTCTTCCATTTTCCGTTCTGTTTTGAATTACACAACAGCCAATAACCGTTATTTCGAAAAAAAAAACACATAAAGTACACCAAATCGTAGTACGGTTCATTACTACACAGAGCAATACTTCACAACTATGGAACTTACACATCCTTTCCTTGAAAGTCACTGAACAGAAGAAGATTCATCAGAAAAATCTAGTTATGAGAAAAAATCATGAAAATCTCGCCTGATCCAAGTAGTCTAAGAAGAAAAAATTAGGTTTCTATTAGAAGCCAATATAGTCGATTTTCGATGCAACCGTAAAGGAATGGTTAGCCAAAATTCTCAAAACGACCCACCAATCTTTCATTTTTCTTTACTTCTTTAAGTTTCATCTGATGTGAAGTACCTCATTCCGTAACTTCACGAGGTCAAAGGCGCTCAAAAAGTTCGAATCTTAAAATTAAAACTCAGAAAACTCACGGTTTTTAAGAGAGCGCACACCATAATGAACATAGTAAAGGTCCACGTCTACTTTCTGATGGCCATGAGGTGTAATAGACTGAAAAATGCTATTTTACAATTTTCCGTTACTTTAAAACATTACTCTAACCAAGATATTACCTGCAAGAAACCACTATTAGCACTGAAGGTTGCCTCCAACAATTCATTTTTCAGTGTGAATGAATTCCCAGTGATATCTTCGAATTTGAATCCGTTGAATGAATAACTGGGAATAGCTTTTTCAAAATAATACGAAATTGCCTTCATTGCAGTTCAAGTAAAGTAAGAAAAGGTTCAAAGGAACGAAAATTGCTCACTTTATTTGTGGATCGCTCATCCCCATTATGGTCGCCAGGGAGTCTTCGATTTCACCTGTTTTTTCAATCACCTTATAAACCTTCACTCCGAAGGGTTTAATCTGATTAGCGAAGCATAGCTAAAAGAAAAACTGTAAACTATTAGTAGATTAAAAGTTACAATGTAAAGTCACGGTTTCCAGGATCCAGTTTGCGACCGAACCAAGTGAGAACATAGAATAAGTAGCGTAATACTCCATTTGTTACCAGATTTGCATGCACTTTAAGATTAGGGGCACGAAAATCTACCTATCGTTGCTGAATTCAGTGGTGATACGAATAAGTCAAGCCTGGGTGATGTAATGCCAAGTGGCGCACTATTACACGAATGGTATCCAAGCTCGGACCGATAATATTCAGGCCCACCAGACCATTCACCCGGAATTCATGGTTAGTTGTTAGTTGATCCAGAGCAGTGACTTCTACATCGGCTAGCCCTCCCTGGACGAGAGGGGAGGGGCAGAAGACAGCTTACCACTTTTATGTATAGTTACTACTCATATTGAGGGCGTAATAGCATTTCCATTAGATTTATTTCTATTTTAAATTCTATACAACATTAGTCCTATTACTGGAAACTCGATTAATATGAGACATACCTCATACTTTCCAGTTGTTAACAAATGGGCATCTTGGAGCGCAAACAAAGGCGATAGTTGATATTGGACCTGAAAGTGCAACTCATTAGAAGCTCAAACAGTAGGGGGCATTTCATAGAATTTTTGGAATAGAGTTGGAACGTTAATAATTCGTACTCAGAAATCATAAAGAAAATTTTTAAATTTGGAAATTTAGGTCAAAACAGTCTTGCAGTGATGTAAAATATAGGGATTTGAGGATTTGACTAATGAATAGGGTCTGTGTAAAATATAGGGATTTGAGGATTTGACTAATGAATAGGGTCTGTTTTGCTTTTTTTTTTTGCATCAAAACCTTTTACCGAAAGTATTATTTATTGCTAATTTGTGGAAAAAAAAACTTTCTACTGAAAAAACCTATTAACTACTCAAGAATTCGTAAGGAACAGTCACCTCCTTGCCCTCGGCATTTTCTACTGCAGCACGCTTAGAGTCCACATGAATGCATACCGGTTCATTTCTCGATCGTGATAGTGTATTGAACAGAACGACAAATCTGTAAGAAATATGGAAACTACTTCACCATTGTTACTTGCTCTACGAGTACAAAGATATGCTGAGGTGATGCCCATGCTGAGAATGCAGTAGTTGGGAATTATTGAGGTCATTTATACTTGGCGTGAGTTAAGATTTCTTTATAAATGGAGCCGTCAACGGGAAAGTGATCGTACCGCTCACAAGGTTATTGCGGGCGTTATCCGTGAGACAACGCCCACTTGATAGACCATTGAGCTTGTGAGGTGGAGTCTTTTCGCTATCTCTAGGAGTACCTATTTGGTTTCCAGAGATAATCACTCACTCGCCAATCTTATAGGTTCTTCTCATCGGTAATGTATTCTGATCCTTTCGATGTTCGTCCAAAAGCAGACCCGTACTCGAAACTGGTTTGGCACCTATCAATCCACCCAGTGCTTCAGAAAGCACTTTTTCTGTATCTTGAAGAGCCGACAACATTCTATAAATATTTTCAAAATCTGCTTGCTAAAAGAGATTAGAAGAAAGGAAACAATCGCCAATAAGATCCAACTCATTTGTAACATACTTTTCCCCATAGTCGCTCATCACGTGGTCTTTTGCTGTACCAGTCACACCATCGTGATGTTGGAATAACGATAATGCTCTTCTTGCCTTCACAAGTCTTCCAAATGTCTTAATATGGATCATAATTACGAAAGGAAAAGTGGATTTATTAAACAAAATGGCGATTCTCAAAAGTTTCCAGGTCATTTTGGCTTTTTGAAGGTATTGGAAACCATTCTAATAAACACTAAGTAATTAAATCGAAATAGTCGAAGAGGTGTTATCCTTGCCTGATCAGAAAGCTTTCCTTCCTTCATTGATCGTAAGGAATAGGCGATTTCAGCCGCTCTTAGTTGATGTAGAAGCGTACGATCCAGTTGTTTATGATACGGGCGAGATGTGAAGTAACCTCAAAGTCATACGGTAGAACAATGCTGCGATTAACATTTGCAACTGCTTCATACAAACCGCTCCAATAATGATCATCTCTGTCAGAGTAGGTGAAGAAATCTCCGGATAAAACGGGCAACGACTGTTGCTCAGCACGAAGTGATCGATCCAATTCTATGAAATAATCGGAGAGTGTGCCGAAGCGTGCCTGGATATTCATTGGGAACATTTGTTACTCGTTATAACCATACAACACATTAAGGTAGTCAGTTATTATACTAACATGAACATTCCATTCTTTCCTTCTGTTCATTTCTTCAAAAAGTTTCTTATAGTTATCGTATTGGTCATTCCACTCTTTATCTTCTTCATATCTGAAAAATACTTCGTTTGACTGTCATAGGTACAACTCTTTGAATAGAATGTTTATAGTCGCAGTAGCTCACCTGAAATCATCACCTAAAGGTACTAACAGTACATTTGTTTTATAGAGCTGGCTCTTCTTTCTGTACTGATCGTAGATTAAGAAAGCCCTAAAAATAAAAATTGTAATATTGATCGACAGTGGTGGTACCAAGTTTGTAGACGGGCGGGACTTTATATTTTTCCTTCGGATAGTGTTAAGCGAGACGGTATGAAGCGTAGATGGCTTTCGAGTTCTTCCGGTAATTCAGTTGGATAAACCTCCCATCACCTAGCTCTTATCAACAAAGACCACTCATCAAAAGCTACTTAGCTCAATTCCGGGTTGGTAAGATAGCGCTAATGGGTTTAGGCCAAGGTAGATGACTTTTTCATAGTATGGTTAAGCGAACGAGTCAGCGTAACAATAGGCCAACGCAAAGCGCTGGCCCACTGACTGATGTTTGAAAATTTAAGTGAGTTTACAGAACTATTCGCATTTTTGAGATCATGTTTGATATTAGAAACAGAAACTGCTGGAAAATATATCAATTTTTGATTTCAAGCAACATTGAAACAAATAAAACCTTTGGAACAAAAACTATGAAAGAATGTATACTGATAGCTCACCGTTCTTCAATATTATCACGTGTAATTTTCTTTGGAGCAATACCCCAGGGACAATCGTATGTGCTTAATCGCCTGAAACATTGAAGTCACATATTTGACCAAGAACGGTAATAGTTCTTCAGAGAACTACAATCAAAAACAGTGAATCGGTAAAAAAAGACCTGAAATCGAATTGACAGCAAATTTTCGGATCAGGTCCACATGTATGAGGAACATCGTATGAGTAAAAAGGAAACATATGCGTTCGAATATCAGGTTTTCCATGGGAACCTGCAGAAGTCTGAGCTTGAATGAAAAGTAGAAGTTGAAGTTTGAAAAGGTTACGTGGTATGGTAAAGCAGTACATCGGAAAAACTTCACCATTTTAGGAAGAAGTACTCACCCCACAGTTGACGCCACATAAACTCTAGTTGCTTATTCTTAGCTAGGTGCTTCTTCACAGAATAATGAACCCTAAATTTAATGATGAGTTTTTAAGAATATATTCCTCTAATTCTAAATACCTCATTAGATTTAAAAGATAACCTAACGGTTCAAAACACACATAAAGAATTGGAGAACGATGTGAATACACTCGAGAAAAATCAAAGGATTTACTAACTAGGATTTGTGGTCCCTGGCAATTATAGTGCTTACTTTTCAATGTATTGGTATAAATTTGTACCTCTGAATCGCCGCATTGGTAATATTAGCAGCTGAAAGAAGATACGGTATCGATGGTGATAAGCCGAATGGATCAATGGACCAATGATTTGTTGGAGTGAAATCTGGTAAAAGAAGATGGAGAGATCAACCACTCAAAGACCAGCAATGGATCGATCACATAATATTTAGAACTAAGTAAATCACAGCACTTATAAGCATGATTTATAGAGTACCTGGACCGATGTGATTCCTTATCCATTCATGTCCCTCGAATAGTTCAGTAATAACCGAGAAATAATGAGCATTTGCTTCATCTGTCATTACCCAACCACCAGTTACAAATTCAAATATGCCATCTTTCAGCAATCTGAATGGAAAATTCAAGCCTATTCCTTCGTCAGTACGAGAATTAAAGGAATATGAGACAATGAGACCTACTTTATGACCTTCTTCCTCACATCATCATTTTGATCTTTCCACCACATTTCAAAGAAGGAAATTTCTGCATATATGAATCGCATATCCTGTGAATGGCCACAAATTCAAGTAACTCAGGAAAAGGGAAAAATGCGATTTGTAAGCTCACTTTATCAAGTCCTAAGTGTCTCGCCATACCATCCAAGATGTTTCGTGTCTGAGTATGGTAGTACTCTTCGAATGTTTTTATCCAGCCTGAACAGAAGTGGACTTAGAAAAATGTCATCAAGCTGGATGATTAAAATCTTAAGCGCCAGTGTCAGTTGGCACCAAATTGCAAGCGTTAGCGATACAACAAAATTAATAGGTTCAGGTAAATTTCTAGATTAAAAAGAGGAAAAAGAAGGAAATCGCCGAGGTCAAACTGAAACCTACCTGGATCACAGTGAGAATGAGGCAACACGATAACTTGTAACGTTTTCTCTTCGGCAACCTTTTCTTTGTCGTACGTCACCTCCCAGCCTTGTTTCCATACGCCACCATCGGGATTGTCAAATGTTATGACGTCATACAAATCCAACATCTAAACTTGTGGCCATATAAAAGATGTTGAGGAAGGTAACAAACAGGATCGCGGTTAAGGAAAAAAAGAATTCGGGAAGCTGTTGAAATTAACGATTTATCGAAGCAAAACTATGAATACGGTATACGCGAGAATAGAAATAAACTCAAATATCGATTCAAGCCCTAATTGTGGCATTATTGAGATCTGACAAGCCAAACACTCACTTGGACATCAGCATGTGAATCCGTGTAATTGCCACGCACTTGACAAATTGGTAACGATGATTTAGTGACGCTTTTTTGTAGTTCTTCAAAGACAACAGCGACTTTGTTTCCTAATGAAAAACGAATCAAATTCAGACAGGATTTTTCTTTCAAATTACACTGATACAAAGAAAGGGTAGTCAAAGAGAATCGCATTTCCCGGATTACTTCAACAAACCTCGATTTGGTTCGGGAATCACACCTTTCTGTTCCTCTTCAACAGCTTTATGATTAGCATCACCTCCTATTTGAACGACTTTCTCTTTTAGGGCTTTCTCTGCTTGAGCTTTTTCATCATATACCTCGTTTTCTTTCTCTAAAAAGAATACAATTCGAGAGAGAAACTTGGAACCTCGAAATAAAAAACCATCCATCTGGAAAGACCGGAAAAAGACAGGCAGGAATAACTTACCAACTTGTTTATCCCAATCCTGTTTACGCTTTCGTTCGAATTCAGCTATCTGCTGTTTAAGACCAGCAATTTCTTCATGATTATTTTTCAATACACCCCGAAGCCGTTCGATGTCAAATTTTAAGGCTGATATTCGTTGCTGAAAGGGTCAATGTAACAAAAGCAGGATGTTGAGGAATGTTAGGAAGAACTTCAAAGGGCTGCAAAGGTTTCTGAGCCTCAAAATGGTCATACGATAGGATCACAGTACCCTATGAAGGTTACTATTACTCTCAGCGCATGTGGTCTCATTGAAAAAAAGCTTTACCACCGATTGAACGTCATCGTTGCCATCTTTGTAAACACGAATGTCTGTGAGTTTAAAAAGCGAGAGAAACAGCTCAGCTTTCACTTCTCGGGCCAATTACGGTAAGCCTACGCTTCATAATAGGAGTACAATTTCCTCAATCATCAAGTTCAAAGAAAGGACCATGTATGTTCACTTACCTCTTGTGCTGGACTCTCACGGGGTACACGATTATCGAGGCTTTGGTATAAATATAGACATACAACAGTGAATACACAAATAATACCCACGGAGAATATATTTCTAAGAGATCGCATTATCGCATAACAATAAGAATAACTTTCCCTATAATATTCTGAAAAATACAGATCGATAATTTAAAATACAAACCCCAGACTTAGCATCTCGATACTCGAAGAATTACCAAATGAATAAAACCGTGTTTGCAATTCAGCCACGTGGAATTAACTGATTTTTAACAGGTATAATCGATAAGCACTTGACGAAAAGTGGCATGAGAAACTGTTATGAACAGCCTAGCTCAAGATGTCCATGAGAAAAAAAGCGCTGGGAATGTAAAGGAAGACAAACACATGGTGTTTCGTATGCTGCGAATAGAAGCCTTTGTTAAAGCCAGAAGAGAAGAAATGACTGAAGATTTCTTGCCGTTTTTAAACTGAAGAGAAGATTAGCCTGGTGGAATCAGCTGATACTCGGGCATAAATAAGTAGATCAATTCGCAGTGGGTTGGACAGTTGATGAACAGATGAAAGACAAAGATGCACGATTGAACATGCTCCAAAGATATTTCAATCAATACAGAATGGGTGATGGGGAAGATTTCACGCTGTACCATAAATTTATGTTCAATATAAATTAACGACCGAAGGGCACTATAGCAATGAGACTTCTATTTCATATGTAACATTTGTGATTACACTGTCATTACGATGGTTATGAATAGATTACACAACTCGTATTTTTGATAGTACACATCAAAGAAAAACCGCAATAATATCCAAAGTGCAGCTGCATTTAGCTCAACGTGTCTCAAAACTTAATAAAAGGTTACGGTAATCGCATCACACCGCAATTCTTGAGGTCGTAATATTGCGACAGGTTGTGACATTCTGAAACTCAAGTGATTATTCCCAGTTTTTTTTTTGCTTCGACACAACTTTTGCTTAACTTTTGCTCTTTATGTTTTTTAAAACTCCATATTTCTTTTCTGCTGTGCATTCTGAAGTGTATGGGGTGTTCTTTGGACCGGAAGGACTTTCGAGGGAATGTACCAGTACATTTCTAGGGGTGTGATAAGCAATGCCAGGTGAGCATGAAGTATAAAATTCACTGAAAATTTATATTGAATGAATCGGCCTACACGCTCACTCCAGAATCGACACCATATAGCGCAGGAATTGTGTTAAGGAACGGATAAACTTGCAAATCAAAGAGGAATGATAATCTGTTGTTGGTACTTTTATATTAGCGAAGTAAAAATAAATTTTTTGTATTTCTTTCGTCTGAAGGCAGGTGGCCTAGACACCTCACTCGCACCGTTGTTTTTTGCGCTTGCGTAGGTGGTCGGTGTTACCAATTGGTAAGGAATGCGACCATACTTAAGCAGAGCTAGGTTATTCGGTACTATTCCACTGTTACAACCCCAAAAACTCAAAATTTTGATTTTCGATGAAACTTCGCCTATAGGGGTAATCCGATGCCCTGATAACGAATGTGACCTTCACTTTTTTTCGCTGGCGCCGTTCGGCACCAAGGGTGTTTTCACCAAATTTGGTGAAAACTTGCGTTCAGGGGTCATTTGAGGTCCTGATAACGAATATAACATCCATTTTACGCGCTGAGGCTATTTGGCGCGATGGCAAGGCATACAGGTTAAGGGGGAGACGATGTGGCTCAATAAAAGTTTTACTCGTTGTCTGAGGACACAGAAATGGATGTTATATTCGTTAACAGGACCTAGAATAACCCCTAAACGCAAGTTTTCAGCAAATTTGGTGAAAACACCCTTGGCGCCAAATGGCGCCAGCGCCAATAGTGAAGGTCATATTCGTTATCAGGGCATTGGATTACCCCTATAGGCGAAGTTTCATCGAAAATTAAAATTTTGAGGTTTTGAGGTTGTAATGGTGGAATAGTACCGGTTATTCAAATTAGATTTGACTTCTAATGAAACTTTACTAATACTTCAATACAATCGCTATGGTATGATCATTCTATAGACCATTTTCATTCCCTATCGTTCTGTTCATCTGAGAATAATTGCAAGCTGTCCATAAGCATAGGGTAGAAATACGAAGCTTGAGCTAATTCTGTGCAGGTGAACCAATTAGAGGGCACTGGTATATCTTTTGTCAGTTGTCAATGATAAATGCCTCTCACTAGCCATTAGTTTGACACATCGTGATTAATGCATTTTAAGACGAGAACCTTTTTCAAGGGGTATACGTACCTAGGCAGGTTTGCAACTCAAGTAGTTCACATCAGTATTCAAAGTAATATGTAGCTGAACAATTTTATACAATATTTAAGGCGAGTGGAGGCGAAAGAAATTTGATCTCCTCATGGCGTATAAAATTCTAAATGGTCTGACTAAAATGGACGCCTCTAAGTTTTTCGTGATTGTTCACTCCAATACGAGAGGCACTTCGGCTAAAATTTCTACTGCTACAGCTAGGTCCCAGGTTAGGTCACAATTCTTCAGTAATAGAATTTGCACTCCTTTCAATGCTCTTTTGCGTAGCAATCTTCCTGGAGACTATAATATGTTTAAAAGAGCGCTGGACAAGTACATCTGATCTGGCTCTGCTCCCAGTTATTTTACTTCACTTTATCTATTTTGTTCTATACACTTGTGTTGTTGATGTATGCTTTGTTAGTGTTGTTACTTACCACTGGACTGCTGTTCCACATGCCTAATGGCGTGTCCGTTAATAAATAAATAAATAAATTTAATCACAATATAGTTAGAAACAAGTCGATTTCATATAAGTGGCTTGAAAGCAGGGATTGTTGTGAAACAGATGAGCTGTCTTACGAGCATAGCAAGTCATGGAAAGAACGCTTGGCCAACGAAGAACATTAAGACAAATTAGCCGCATTAACATCCCCGTGAATATTTAGGTGAAATACTCCCGTGCTATTGCGTTTATATAATTTGCTCGGTTTCAGGGGCAAGTGTTCAAAGTGCACTTCCTCGCTGCATAGGGCACACCCACTAAAAGGTTGCAATTGGCGAACATTTATAAAATCTGACTGGAGAAAACGACGGGCAGGAAAAGTGGGAAAAGGATTTCTAGAAAACTGGTCTACCTATAATCCTGTTAGTGGGAGAATGGCCTCAATTCTTTCGGTTTTAAGCTTTTTTCAACGTTTTCCCTTTCCCATTACCGTTACCACTACTTTCTTATTGTACAACGTAAGCGCTAACTGTTCCAGTTGTTATAATTGCTGCATTTAGCGATTACCAATATTGGTTTTAGGGTAACTATGCGGATAGAGACTTGCTATTTTTGTTCTTCACCAATCTATCCAGGTCACGGAATTCAATTTGTAAGGAACGATGGCACGGTACGTTGCATCGGATAATTTAGCTGTTTCTTGGAATATTGTTTCTTGAAAATAGTTTTCGTCTTTTCAGATTTTCAAGTTTTGTCGATCAAAGTGTAATAAGCTGTTCAAAAAGAAACGCAACCCAAGGAAACTTCGTTTTACTAAAGCATCTCGTCGCGCTCGTGGAAAGGTATCCCGTTTACATTGGCGATTTCTGTTTTTTTTTTTGACTGGGGAAATACATTTTTGTTATCTAGAATAATACTCTTTCCTCTTTAAGGAGCTCATCAATGATGTAACGCAACTGTTGGAGCAAAAGAGAGACGAACCAGTGAAATACGAACGTGAATTATTCAAAAACACGGTCGAAGCGGCTAAAACGATATCGGCGATCAAGCACAAGAGGTGGGTTATAGAGGTCCAGCAACTCATCCGTTATTTTCTTTGCCTGACAGTTTTTCATCAAGGCACAGAAGCTTTGAGTAGGCGCCGTGTGCATCTCGCTTTCTGACTTCTGCTTGCGCAAAAACCGCACACTGCACCGTTCATTAAGAGTCTAAAAATCTAGGTGTGATGCATTTCAGTTTTGATATTCGCATTAAAAAGAACATCCTCCCAGAACTACTGAACCAACTCACCAAAGATAATACTAATCGCTATGATAATCGCAGGCATTTTGCGAAAAATCAGAAATTGTCAAAGGGAAGATTTGTTTGTCTAGAGAGAGCTCCTGCACAAATTCAGCAAAATTTTTGGTTTACTCAGTTGTTCGTTTTTATTGCATGTGCGGCCTCATACATTCAATTGAATTTTCGACATTCACAATTTGACGTTCTCTTAGAGATGGATTTTTTGATTGATTTTGGTATGACAGACAGGATTTTCGAGGGATTATACGTACTTCAAGCGAGGTAGTGTCGAGTTAGTGTGCAACTTTTCATAAGTTGAATCCCTCTTCATCACTTGGAATGCCTGCCGAACAAAAATTCAATTTTAGAATGCGGCCTAAATAAGCGGGAGTCGTTAAAAGTGGGCGTATTTGAGTTTATCATCAGGCAAAAGGGTGAACTGTTGAAATGAGAACTGTAGAATTATTATGAATGAAATAAATGGGACTTTTACCACATGGTTGAGAATGGCTAATGAAATGCAGTTACCCGGTGATTGATTTTGTCCTTCTATCGCTCATTATGAGAAGTAATTGAATCAGCCAGTACCAGTTCTTTAACTTAATAGGTACAAAACGATTAAATGTTCATACTATTTTGAAAAGTTTACTTCAACCGAGTATTCAATATTTGCAAACTGAGATTCCTGTTTTGCAGGTACGCCAATCTTATCCGAAAGTCACTACAACCTGGTAAGATTGTGAAGAAGGCTGGCATGATCAAGAAAGCGGAAACGAAGTTGCACCTTATTCGTGCTCCGGTTGCCAACAAGGAACCGATCAAGCAGAAACAAAAACAGAAGGAACAGGAAATGGAACTCAACTAATCCTGATCTTTTCGTCTATCATCGAAGCTGAAACTGTATGAAAGCTCCTGACGGTTCTATTCCAAAACGTTGTTTCTTTGTTTTGTTTCGTTATTCTCTTCATGAACAGATTTTGATATATTTTTTTCCTCCGCGTGACAGTCGCTCTTCCAGAATGATATGGGAATTCCATAATGAATGCCCTTTTATTTCGAAAAAACATTGGAAATGTTAAGGCAACCTCTCACATGATATCGTAGGTGCAGAAATCTTTCTTGGACAGTATCTTATATGAAATTAATTTTGCTGTCTTTTTTGTTACTTCTTTGTTATGTTGTTGTTCAAAATAAATGATATAGTGAATATTGAAAGTGTTGCGATGCTCTGTTTCAAGCTAATCTTTTTAATACTGCAGAAATAATTGTAGCTTTCGGAATAATGGTTTTCAGCATCTTGGAATTAGGTTTTACTTCGTTCTTTTTTTTGAAAAGAATTCCGGCACCCATGATTCCTATATAGTGATCCCAATAGGCAATGTTTCTGAGTCCCGATAACAGTGTGTCAATTTGCCTACCACCATTTCTCTGTGCTTGAAAAATTTAGAAAAATGTACTTTGTGGTTTACTGTATCTACCTTAAGTTCCACACATGTCGAGTACCGATCACAAAGAACGATTGGTGACTGACAATTTGGAGTCGTTGAAAGAGGGAGAAGTTTTTGTCGACAGTGAAACAGGCAAGAAATATCGCGTAAAGAAGACCATTCTCCCACACTACGCTTCTTCAGGTCCTCATGGCCTAGGTAGGTGTGTTTATTACATGTTGTAAACTTAATGATTAAGGTTGGTCCAATTCTGAATAGTCCTCATCACTGAGTTTCTTATGAGTTATGTCCTTGATTCATATGCATTTTTTGCGAAGTAAATTGGAGGGAGTTTCGTTGCCCTGTGTACTTGAGTACTATTTGAGTCTGATTGATTTTATTTTATTTTTCAAAGCATGAATGTGGAGAACATTCCTTCCTCAAGAGGGAATAGTTTTCGCGAAAACTAATTCTCGATTTAAACTCGGTCATAATTTGTTATAACAGTTATTTTTCATGCATTCAGGCTGACAAGAAGCCCAATATTCGTCACTTCTGCGCGATGGAATAGTTGATTGGCAATCAATACAGTTTCTCGTTTTACTGCCCTTTATAATGCAATTCTCTTCGAAGACTGTTCTTGGGATTCTTATCCGTATAAATAACATGCAGTAAAGCGGTTTATTGTTAAGCTATCGCTTCAAGTAAAACAGCTCTCAGGCAAATTGTTATTAACTTTAGTGAACTTCGACGACTATGACCAAAATGCATATTAGTACTTGGGTATGCCTGAAAAGTGACACGTCATTGATATAGAGAGTATTTTGTTAGTATAGAAATGCACCAGTTGCCAGTTTGAAAAAAAAAGCAAGCAGCTATTTTATAGCTGCTTAGCAATAAAACATATAAGTAGTAAGGTCGCCATCTCACATCGCAAAGCTTACAATCAGTTACCTTTGAGTTTTGGCAGTCGTGGTTACCTTTGCAGAGCGGTTGCTCTTTATATATTCTCAAACATAATTCATTTAGGAGATCCTGATGATCGAACGTTACGACGCATTGAAGCTGATGTCATTATACCTAATCGAATGAATGCACAAATAGAGAAGGTAGAATGTAGAGAGCCATATTTGGGTGAGCAATGAATATTCCTCTGCTAATTCATTGTCCCAAGCATTGGAATTGTCAGTGTAGTAGTTTTCTCACGGCCATGTCCTTCATGGTCCCATCGGTCCGTCCTTTCTGGGTTACTGGGGGGGGGGGGTGGTAAAGCAGAAGGCATGTATCGAATTTTTCCAAGCGCGGTAGCACATGCAATACCCTTCAACAGTTGATGGAACATTTTAGCTCCAGCAATTTTTCTTGCTACTTTTTATTTTTCAACACCGGCTAGTGGAAATCAGCAATGTTCGAGTCACATTTTTTTCCGAGGCGATTTTGAACCAATAACGCAAACGTATTCGTAACGTAATTGCATTTATAATTGTACTTTAGAACTCGTCAATTGTATGAGAGAAAAAGGAGCAGTGAAGGGTCTGAAACAATGCAAACCAGAACTTGATGTCTTTAATCGCTGTAAATACCTTAAGTGAGTTTGAGTAAGACTGTGTTTTTCATATCAATGTTTACAGACCAACTGATTGTGACATTTCTGTGTCTCGCTAAGAAGAACCGAGCGTACAACTGCAGAATTCCCACTTATATCGCAACTTGAAACTCGGCGTTAAAAGCGTTAAGCTATGTATTTGAAAGGTTCTGCTCCACCATCGTGCCTCTTCTCATCCAGCCAACTTTGGTGATAGCAGCTTGGTGTTGTTATGAGTTCGAAGGGCCGTTCATCGCGATTTATTAGCGCTAGGTGATTTCGGTGGCGAGGTTTTCAATGCTGCGGCGGTTCCGTTTGTGAAACGGACAAAAATACCACTTAAAAATTAATTGGGTTGCACCACGAATAAGGAATCAGCAGCCTTGGCTGCCATAACAGTATGGGTTTACACTTGGCATGGGCCTGCAGCAGTGTAAACCCATTCTTGCATCAACAGGTCGCGATTTCCAAAGTCAACAACAAAAAGAGAAAACAATTCCCTGGAAATTTCACGGTTTCTTTTGCAGCTGAGAAAGCTCTGGCTGCTTTCATACTTCGTCGTGCGTGCCGGCACGCAGATGGAAACGCAGGTACCATCTTGCGTGCGGCGTGCGAGCGACTATGCGACGGCTTCGCTGTTCGACTGTGTGACAACACTGGCACGTGATCCATCGGCGTCCAATGTGGTCAACACCTCTCCAGCACCCCCGTCGCATAGTCGCTCACACGCTGCACGCAAGATTGTACCTGCGTTTCCACCTGCGTGCCGGCACGCTCGTTGAAGTATGAATGCAGCTTCTGACGTACAGTTTGTTCCTCTGAAGCTCTCAACCCATATAGTTGCTCCTGCAAACAAAGCTGATATCGTGGAATCTGCTTTTCATCCATTCCTTGTTAGTCAGATTGGTTTAATTTCCACTGTCAGGTTCAACGACACCGAATTCCGGGAACGAATGACGGAACAATATTTGCAAGAGCGATCAGAAGCTCGTCGAACAGGAAAGACAGCGCGGGAACGTAAACTCGAAGAATATCGAGAATGGAAAAAAGAGCATGAAAGTAATTGACGAGCTCATTGTTTGCTCAGTAGTGTATAGGTGTTCGTTTTGTTTGTTTTATTTAGTTTTAAATGTCAAATATATAGCTCAAGAATGAATATTCAGAGTTTTCCTTATCATTCTTGTCTAAACACCAAGCTCCTTCAATTAGTCGTGTTCAAAGCGCAACGACCTGAAAACAAAGACCTGTTGTGAGGTACGCAACTGTTCTTTATCAGTGCTAAGTAAATGATTTTAGGACCTTTTAAGGGTCAGGGAATTTAGTAACTTTATGTGATTTCCAAAAGTCAGGTTATTTTATGTCAAAGGAATTTTATTTGAACCGGAAGGACCATGAGTTGGTACCTCAATTTTATGTGCGATGATTCACTACCTGTAATGATCCACCTATTTTAATTTATTACTGTACATCTCAGGAGCTGTTTTGGAGCAAAACTGATTGACCCGTTCAAACCTCTCCTGTTTCTTGTCTCGTTTTCAACAGAAGAAACAACTTGGGACAATATCATTTCAGTTATTACTTAATCAGAACATACGGCGCAGCCCTATTAGACGACATATGGTCTTGGAGTAGATAAAGGTTCAGGAAGTTCATAGTGAGGGCTCAAAAGCCATCATTGTTAGCTTTGTGGAGCTCTTTTGGTCGTGTCGAACAGACTTCCAGAGGTAGCGTTGCGTGGTGTATCATGGGTTTTTCAGGTTCGGATAAAGTACCCAACTTCAAGTTCTGTCTTGTGCCATTAACCTTCAAGAGTTCATCTGGAACGATTAGGGCATCTACATTGTTCCTCGAGGTCTCTTTCTTTTTTGAGCTTTGATTGACCCTTTCATAATGAGCTAAATACGCCTATTGCAAACAAAACGCAGTTTTCTTGTTGGACAGCACGTATGCGCCAGTGTTGTTGGTATTCGCGACTTTCCGAGTTATTCTTTGAATCTTCTGAAGCTTTTGGTGATATCAGCTCTGTAAATTTGTAAGTCTTTCTAAGGAGGTCTTTAGAAAGTAGGGAGAAGTTTCTTTTAGGGAGTGAGAAGAAATTTCCACCAGTGACAGCTCAATTTATTCCCGACCAAGGTTAGCAATGTTGTCTTGCTGCGACTTTTTTGGGCTCTGTTCTTAACTGCATTTTTTGAGCCTCCCTCAATTATAAAATTTTTAAAGCTTAAAAATTTGATGATTAAAACGTCAAGAGCGATATAACAGTCGTTCAGAAGGTTTTTTTTTTCTCTGTCCAAATAGAGACTGTCAGTTCAGCCGACGTTCGAGCACTCTTGCTACTCCCTCATAACTCCAACCTTCTTCTCGAGAAAAGATGAAGTTTCTATTGACGGAAAGAGGCTTACTTACTCAAAATATAGCGGTTTCTTCTTATTGCTATAGCCTTCAGAATAGTAGAAAAGTGTGCGTACTTTGCATGAATGCCCTTCTGCTATGGAACCACTTTGCTAATCCTGTTGAAGAGGATTCGGGGTGAAAGGATTCCACGAATAGCAGAATGCATCAGCAGGAAGGCATGAAAAAGCTAATTCTTTTACCCTCTGAAGGTATTCTTTCGAAACTAGGGGTTGCTCCCGAGGGACATTCAATGTTGCGAGCGGAGCTCTACCGAACTTTCTAGAGTACTCAAGTTCAGAAGACAAAGATATAATCAGTGTAAGGGTGTATAGTTTATGAAAGGATGTAAAAGGTACCAGGTCGCTCAGCGCTTTACTAACCAGGTTGACATGAATAATTGCGGTTTTTTCTACTATCGACGGTATTCTTTTGATGAATGCTGTTGTCTGGGAGATGGGCACTTCTCCCGCTGGGTTGGGCCAAGTGCAGTGTTCTATGTATTCTCGGCGGGAGCCCTCACAGGAAGAATGGAAATTTGGGGAACAGATTTACAGCGTTTGGGTACCGGATGGGGCGAATAGAAGTGTACCGCGCTGGAAAGTCTTTTTTTATCGATTTTCATCAAAACAGACGAAATTTTAAAATTATCGCAAAATTCGATCAGGAAGTTAATACCAGGAAGGAAGAAAACCAGGCATAGAGGCTTACAGGTGTCTTCCAATTCAGCCTATCTTCCACAACATAAACAATGCGCTGTTGAGGATTCTCTGGGTGGTTCGACCGGAAGAACTGGCTTCGCTCAGAAATGTTGATGGCTGTGCTTTTCGGAATCTGCTGCTTCACATGGTAGTCGTTTATCTACTGTTATGCCAGTTTGTTGAGGATGGGTCAACCAAACTTTTGTCGATCATATAAGCGGACAGATTGCCGAACAAAAACTGTCGGCGTAGTTAGGTCTATCGCTTCAGCTGCAGGAGGGTCACTCAGATTTTTCGCAGAGTGAACCACCTTGTTTACCATCAGGTGGTCGATTACTGGGATGTCGTTCCGTGAGAGTCCTACACTGCTGGATGTTTCATCGACGAAAAATATACTACTCCACTGCCAAGAGGACTGCGAAAAGGGCTACATATAGATCTTGCTCTAATGGCAGGAAATGAGCTGATCAGGACTGTTGGGATATCAGATGTACCTAACGCTTGAACGGAAAAGCTGAAAAGGGGAATGGAAAGAGTGTAGATGACCTTTTCCATCACCCCTTACGGCTTTTCCATGCTGGATCGGGGACTAGTTATCATTATTTGAACGGCGTACCCTTATTCCGTAATACCCTTATTCCTTTTACTACCACTATCTCCAGTCTGGGATGTAACGTGTAGTAGGAGAGCGTAATAAAGCCTGTTATATTTCAGCTGAAAATTTTTCACCACTATCGCTCTGAAGGTCAAGGAGAAGGAGAAGGAACTCATCTCTGATTGAACCTCTTGGACCGGTAGGTTCAATCAGAGACGAGTTCCTTCTTCCTTCGACGAGACGGGAACGCTTTTATGCGGCAACAGAAAGGAGGCCGTAGTGGGCAGTTTGGCGAGGAGCAGACGTGTGAATGCTATGTACCTTCACTATAGACTATCGACCGAGCTTTCCACCCTCTTTTCGCTCCTTGTGGGGTGTAGTTTCTGTCATGATGGGTACTGGGCTCTTGTTTTTCCTACTGATGCTCTTCGCTTCTGGAACTTACTGGAATTTTCTCCAAGCTGTCTATCGATGAGTTCTCTTTTTACTTTTGAAGACTACTGCGAACCGGGATTCATCCATCTCTTCTACATATGTGGCTTTTGATTTGAAATCGAGACAAGAGACATTACTCAATATACCTAGCATCTTGAAATAATTCTTAGTAAGGGTAACATATTGTAATCCAAAGGAGTCCAGGGGATCATCGTGGTCATAATCCGAAATAGACATCGAGCTCGGTAAGGTGACGATGTCCGAGACCTGCGATTACTAAAATTGTATAATGGGAGATTCTCAGCCCGCACGCAGGTGTTCTACTAGACCTTTTTAGTAATCGCATACATTATTTACGACGTGCATTAGTGGTTTATTCATCGTTTGTTATTACGTAGTTCCCACCAACAATGGCCGTTTATGATGGCCTCGTCTAAGACGTCGCAATTTTTTAGTCCGTTTCTTGTACAAACCGTTAAGATTGTATCAGTTCATCTTGCATACTTTGTACAACTTTTTCTCCGAATTCCAGAGCGCCAGCGGATCCACTTTTTGTTTTTCGCCCCTATTTTTATACATTCAATCGCACCTGCTGTACTGGATGTATTGCTGTGATCGTAGGCAGTCATGCCACCGTCGCGTAACCGATCGCAAGAACGAATCTCGGCTCGACCCAACGCAGCTTCCATTCTTTCGGTACCGTCAAATCCGTCCGGTTGCGACCTGCATCACCCTTTCGAGTCTTTAAAATTCCGGAGGAGACCGTTGGGCACGGCTCATCCCCAAAGCGTGAACCATTAATTAATGCATTTTTCTCAAGCAATAAATCAGAGATTAGGATGGATTTTTGTCGTTTTCTAGCGCGTTATGACAGTGACGAAAGGATCCTTATAAGTAGTACAGAAATGAAGTTTTACATTACCGTGCTGTAGAGTGGAATGTACTGCAAAGTAGCGATATCACTTACAAATAGCTGAAGCAGTCAAAGCAAAACAGAAGCATGTTGCAGCATTTGTCTCTCTAATTCTTTGAATTTATTTCTACTTGAATTGAGCGACTCTAAAATGAGTGCCGTTCCTGTTATCCTACATAACTTGTAGTTGAAGCTAAATACAATTTCCCGTTGTGAGGCTACAAATTTTCCTCAGTATCACTGGAACCATCATTGAAACTATTTCTAGAATCCCGAACCGGCTGCATAACTTATTACTTACTGTTGGGAACTTCAACTTTTTGAAAGTTGAACTTACGTATAGTCTTCCAATCTCCGGGCTTTTCTTTTGTTTATTACACTAACAAGTACGAGGAATTGGTTGCGTTGTTTCACCCACTAAGTAGGTGGCGCATGGAATCTATTCAGCGCCTTCTACGGTGATGTATCCTTACATGAGAATGTAGTTGGAGAGCGTGAGAGTGTGGGGGTGGAGGGATCGTGTCGGGCCGATGATCTCTTGTAGCTCGATCCGGCACATTATCAGAAAGTGGAAGTCAACCAGGGCCTAGACCTCAAATTAAACTTCCAAAAACAGGATCCTTCAAGTTTAAGCTTGGACAGAAAAATACTTTCAGCAGAAGAAACTCGGCTGAAAGTATGAAAGGACCTCCTTCTATACTTTAGGCTTCATTTTTCGGGGTTGGGAATGCCGTGGGAAAAGTCAAGACTCAATTCAACGTCTTGGTTTCCTTCTCTATCATATACTGGGAACCATATGGTGCTCACGAGCTTGTTCTGCAATGTTTCCCCCAAATGCAGCAAAAAACATGTGCACGGCGCACCCGATGTTCTTGAGGACCTAATTTTGCAGCGCAATTTCAATGGAGCAACAACCCAAAATCGATAGGATGAGCGCAACGGAGCATGCCGTTATTCGGAGATAATTATGGTTTCAAGGGTCTAATCCCACTTTGGCACTTAGCGATTGTCTTCCGACTTCCCGACTCTAAC